ATAGTACTAATGTCTTTTCTACCCTTCATAATTTTGAAAATGAAATAAAAGATATGCACGTTAAGGAAAAGTTTAAAGTTGGAGACCGAGTTCGTATTTTCAAGTATAAAAGTAAATTCGAAAAAGTTACGTTAATTATTGGACAAACGAAATATTCATCGTAGATATAGTAAATACCACATCACCTCCGACATATGAATTAATCGATCAAATCATTGGTAGGTTTTATCAAAACGAACGTCAAAAAACTGACTTTTAAAAATGAATAGCTTTCTCGATAAATATGGAACTGATACAACTGCAGTTGGGCGAATGATTTAAATATATCACCGTTTTATTATTGTATGAGAGATGAAATAAATGAACTCAAAAATAAATAAGGTAAATTTTATGCTATAACAAATATTTATACTTCCGATCAAAAAGGAGTTCACCATTCTGATTTATACAAAGACTATTTAAATAATTTTTATTTATTTGATTCTTTTGGATTAGAACCAACTGAAGAGATATTGAAATTGACAAAACGACCAATTAATAATTCTACATTTCAGATGCCAGAACAAAAGTTTTGTGGACAGCTTTCACTTTGGGTTTTATATCAGTTGAGTTTAGGAAAACAGTTTGAAGAAATTATAATAAATTTAACTTAATGAAAATGGCAAATGAGTTTGGTTTAGATTCTTTACCTTTAGATACTAAAAGACCTAACACTACAGCATGGATAAATAAAGCAACACCTTACTTTGTGGATCAAATCGGAGACACTCTTCAAGGTGATTTGGATATGAACAATTTAAACTAATTTAAAATCTCCGGAAAATGATAATGATGCTGTTCACAAGAAATATTTACTGGATCAAATAAATTCAATTGAAGTAAATAAAAACCATTTAGAAGATAAAATAAGTAAAAAGATTCTTCAAACGTCAACTAAATAATAAAATTGTTATTAATGATACTAAACTACAGCAAGAGGAAGCAGGTTTAATAAGTTTTATTCAAAAACAATTGGTCAATGTAGTGAACAAAACTCAGAATATGTAAAACTATATTTTGTTAATAGTTCACAAGACATAGCAGGGATTACTCATTATGCTGATTTATTTAACTCAATTGATATTCATAAAGTCAACAAGAGCAAAAATATGTGATATTTTCATCAATGCTTAAACATAAAGATAGTAGAGAAGTTATTGGTATGTATACTTGTTCATGTAAGATAAACATCAATATCGAAAAACCCAAATTTTTAGTTCATCTAAACCAGATTAATGATTCGAAAGAAGAAATATCAGAAGTTCACTCAATTTAATTACCTAAAAATGGAAATGTTTGAAAGTAGTAGACAACAATACGTCATGATAGACAAACAAAATGAGTTGAAAGCAAAACTAAAACAATACAATAAATGTAAGAAAACGTGGAGTAGAATTGATTCTGTTTTCAAAACATTAAGCACAGTTTTAACAATAGGGATAACGGTGGCAACAGCCGTAACTGGTGGATTAATGCTTCCAATAATTGTCCCAACTATATGCATTCTGTTATCCGCAGACACCAAGATATAGGACAAAGAGACATATATAATTCACATTTGACAACAAAATATACTTTATTCCAACAAAGTACAAACAGGTGAGTACCCGCCGAGCCGAAACGGGTATCGGTACAGTAGATAAGGATAAGTCTCGGTTCAAATAACAACAGTGTTCACAGTGTTCTAGTGACTGAGTTCAAGTTAAAAAAATATGCTAAAAAATAAAAAAGTATATAGTAAAAATATGAAAAGTATCGAACTTATAGACGATGAATCATTCGTAGAAAACACCCTATTTTCCAATCTTATCAAGGCTGTTTCTGATAAATATTCAACATTTCAAGGTCAAATTGAAATAGATGGAAAAATAATTCAGGATGGAATGCACAAACAATTTATGAGTCTTCGTGGATTCAATGCCAAAACTTTTCGTAATATCTTTAGAAATGTGGAAGAAAAATCTGATTGCTCTGATTGGTATTTTACAGGAAAAATAATTAATGAATTCAATACGAAATTTAATGCTTCGTTTCAAATTTACAATCCCAAAAATAGACATTTATATCCCAGAGAAGTATACGATCCATTAGATTGGTTTTTTTACTTAAATAACTCGCATTTCTGTCTTATAAAAGAAATAAAAAAAGTTCAGGTATTACAGAAATAGAAGATAATTATGAACAAGTATGGACCTGTAGCGATGATAATGCCGTAACAAAAGTATCACCTCTAAAACTAAACGTGTTTTCAAGTATGAGTGATGATACTTTGTTTGCGTGCGATTATGAGACTTATACAGAAAACGAAAGCGCAAAGCAGTTCCTTATTCCTGTACTTTAGTTAATTTGGAAAAACAAAGAAAAATGTTAGACAGAATAAAACGTAGCTGTCCAGATTTAAATCCTACCGATAATATTCCAGAAATTTTTTATAATCAACTAATGAATACAGTAGAAATATTTGTGGGTAAAGATTGTATAGATCAAATGCTAAATATTTAGGTGAATATGATAGAAAAAGATTAACATTGATTTTCTCATAACGGTAGTGATTTTGATAACTGGATCGTGCTTAAAAACGCAAAGAAACTATCGCATTGTCCACTACTAACACAGAGAGGTATTCTGTCTTTACCTTTATCCAATCCATTCACTACTGAAGATCTACAGAAAAATGGAAAAAACAAAAAGAAATAACAACCAATAAAAATAAAAATTATTTACAAAATGATAATTTCACATGTTCCTATCAACATGAAAAATCCAGTTTGGCGTCATGGGGAAATTCATCTAATCTACAAATGAATCTGTATATAAGAATAGAACACTAGAGTTCAGATACATGTTCCTATCAATATCCCTGTACATCAGTCATAGGCCAAAACCCGACAAAATCCACGAGGTGAGCATAGAAACAGTGTTGAAGCTACCTTAGATCAATTGTCCCCAAATCTGTGTTGCATGCCGTTTTTACCATCTTCACTCGTCAAAACTATAAAAGCTGAACAAACATATACTAATGGGAAGCAACTCTCGTGTACAAACTATAACTTTAAAAATAATATATCAGTAAAACAATTTGAAGTTTTTTTAAAGGAATTATATTACGTTTCTAGTACTTCGGGAGACTATTTACATACATTAAAGACTAAAATCAACCCCCCAAAATTGCACATCTGTTTCTTTAACATGTTGTTAAATGTTTACTTGTTGTACTTGACAACCACATGTTTAATTGGATTGACCTATCAGATCAAATCAAGTAAAGTTGATAAAAATAATACTTACGTTAATGATATAGAATAATATATTTCTCAGAATTAAAACCAGGTAGTCAACAAAATAGGCAATACATACATATAACAATAGGGAAACTCTGCATAGGTAAGTTACCAAATAAAATATGCGGACTCTCTTAAAGGTAAAATCCTAGTCGTAGAATGATATCATGTGTATAAAAAGCGAGAGAATCTCTGTTTCGCTTGAAACACCTGTCGCAAGTGGGGTCTTGGAGTCAGGCTTCGATTTAGTATCTTAAAGACCTCCGGGATTATCGTGTCGACGTGTTATAGGCAAATTGGTGTGTGATATATGTACAAAAATCATGTAAGATATGAAGACCCTTCATAAGCGGTGGTTGACAAAGCGCAGAATGCCATTCCGTCTTTAAATATTTGATTTCGACTTTAATGTAGGTAGTCATCTGAGTCAAACGCAAATTAAGATGAATTTCTCTTCTACATCTTGTCGTGTCATGCTATATTTTATCATGTGTTTTTGACTCAATAAAAATTGTCTAATCAAAACCCAGATTTTCAGCCATGTGTGTCATTTTGTGATGCGAGTCTGAGGGGCCTTTTTGTAAGAATAGCAAAAGGAAACTGTGAAAAAAGGTTAGCAAATGCCTAACTTAGAGTATAGAGGCGTTAAAATGGTTTAAATAATCGTATTGTATTCGTCGTATATTACTAAAATTAATAGCCTCTCTGTCTGTACAATGATTTAAGAAAAACTTCACCGAAATATGACGTGGGAAATAAATGCAGTTTGGTTTTGACGATGTCTCCAATAGTGACTAAACATGTTGGTTTTTTTTTTAAATTCAAAAACTGCATAGTGTGGATCAGAAGCTATAAATATCATACAAAGGCAAGTAAACCTCTATTATTTGTAATAAACATAGTCATTACACACAGGTATAATCTCACTATACCAATACAAATAGATTCACGTCCTTTTGGTTATTATATATTACACAGTATTAGGGTCGAAGTAATTTGGTGTTTTTTTGAACAACAGACGTTGGGCCAGGAATCGACATGGTGCTTTAGGGAAGTTACTAGTGTCCCCATACAAGCAATGGCTAAAATAGTTGGAACGCGTATTTATTTTTAATGATGATTTACTCTCACTTTAATAGTGAACAACATCCACTAGTTCTAACAGTTAATCCAAATTCAAAATCGATATCATTACAGGTTTTGGATTCCATGTTCGGTACAACAACATTGATACAAGTTGAAGAAGCTTATTTCCAGCATGTGTTGTTATCTGCTTAAAACAATCATATTCGTTGTTCTTGTCATCTTTATCATGAGCAGTGTTTTATATGTCCGTCCAGATTGGTATTTTGGTAAGGATTTCGACAAGATGTTGAAGCAAAGTTTCTCGTATATTATTACTGACAAAGATATATTAAGGTCTGTACATAACCCTTTTCCTGAAAAGGGTTCCCCCTTTATTTTTGGAAGCGATGTTTTCATGTGGAATTTCATTCATCGGGACTATTTCGGAATTAAACCATGTTCGTTGGCTCAAGAACCATGAGGCGGTAATAAATGGAACTAACCATTATATTACATTGGAAATTGTAACATATTCTGAAAGCCATGTCGAGGTTTTCACTAATCTGACCATTTACAAATGTTACCGAGGATGATTTCGGCATATATCAGTGTTACATGATAAGTTTGAGATCAGAAAAAGCTGAATGCAACAAAAAAAGCAAACCTAAACCGAAACGATGGACTGGAAATATTGACTGTTTTAGCGAATGTGAAAGTTCTCCTTCGCTTCGGATGACAGAATTCAGCAAGGAGGATATCGAACGTTTGCATAAGCTACGCAAACGCCATTGGGTTGGTGAGTTCCACCTACTGCGAGAGAAACCCCGAAACAGAACAATGTTTATAGTTCCTGGAACTTTGGTTTCTGTGGCTGTCCATTTTCGACACATCAGAGAAATAAATGATTTTTCTGTTCATTTTACACGAAATGGTCAAGATATTCAGTCATTTGATACCAAATGTTCCTACTCTGCTCGTGCCTATGCATATAGTTTTCCAGATATTACGGTAGCTTACAATGACGTAACCTACATGAACGAAACATCAAAAGACCCCTGGAAGGCAAGTATTGGAATCATTTGGACTTGTATATCTCCATCTATGTACGGTGTGTACCAAACTACAATACTGAGAAAGGTTTATAACAAGCACGATAACATTCCATGGATTGAAAAAATAGACTATCCTACCAAGGTGTACATCAAACCTAAAGAATACTCAATCGTCACTGAAAATATATCCAACAATAAAAATCGGGCAGTGGTTGTTTATAACGAGAGCTGCTGGTCCAATGAGGAACTGAAACCTGAAAATTGCAAATACATCTATTCTGCGGTGGTATCAATCTTTGATAAGAACATCCTATATGACAGTGTGATCAACAGGAACATTGTTATCATTTTAAGTGTCGCTATCCTTATAAGCGCCCTATCTCAATTTTATTGTGTCATGAAAATTTCTGGTAAGAAGGGACTAGCTGGAATCCAGATTAACCCAGACCTTCAATATCATCTATATATTTCAAGTTCAAGTGCCTCCTCTGATAAATTATTTATTGAGCAAAATATACTTCCAATAATCAAACCTTTAGATTTAAACGTTTTTTGTGGACAAGAAGATGTTCTTCCAGGAAGGGTGGAAATTACCGAAATTTCAAATTCTATTAACAAAAGCCTGAAGTGTTTGGTGATAGCCACTAACAAATATATAAAAACTGCTCTTAAAAATGATTTTGAAATTAACTGTATTTTAAAGACATGTTTAAAATGTGATTTGGTAATCGTTAACGTAGATAATTGCCCAATTCACAAAATATTCCGCAAAATTTACACAGTAATCAACTGTTCAAGGGAGGGTCTGAGTGAACAAGATAAAACTGTACTGATGCAGTGGGTGGTAGAAAATGGTAGTGGTAATGGTAGTTTAATTTTATTAAACATTATATCTCTTTTAAAACTAACGCTTATAATTTTAACTTCCATTCTATTTTTATCAATGTTATAAAATCAATAATAACTAGAGCCGACAGGTTACTTCATAGCATTCCTTTCAAATTATTACACTTGCATTACAACGTTATATACCCCTTATGTTTCTTTTAAAATCTTTCACTGGTCAACGATACAATTCTAATACATTTTTTAATTATTTTTTCTAAAAATTAAAAAGTTCATTTTTAGAATTGATTTTATTTTGTGTGGATTGGATCAGTCCATATTTAGAATTATTGAAATATAGGAATCCATGTTCCAAACATTTAAGAGTATTCCTGGCAATCGGCTTGTGTTATAGTCTTATTCGCAATATTCAAATGGCTATAAAAACGGATCTAGATATCGTACAACAAAATCAAAGGCACCATGTGATAAATTTCATCAAATGGAAATGGCTTTTCGTCAGACCACTAGTCACCAAAGGTCAAGGTTACGAGATATGAGCCTTTAAAGTTTTGAAAATAACTGTTTTTGGAAGCCTATAAAACCGGAAGTAGGTGTCAGACATCAAAGATCAAAGTATAAATTGTCATTATAGATCCAAGACCTTTGACCTTGAAAAGTTCAAGGTCATTCATGTTAAAGGTGAAAAATGCAAATCTAGTAAATTATAAAACCTGTTCCTTTTTTTAAAGTAAAAAGCCCAGACAGATTTACCTTTACCACATATTGGCCAAACTAGTTACCTATTAACCTGCAAAATATTATAGGTGACAATTACATACTTTGCGAGTAAATAAATAACAAATATATAAGGTAAATGTGAATCTAGCCCGGATGTGCCACACCCATCCCAAAATATTTGTCACATCTGTTATAATGTGTACAATGCTAAGCTATGTTAAAAATTTCAAGCGTCTAAAGATATTAGATCATGAGATATTCATACTTTCATGTTAAAGGCTTGAGATTTTTACGGCAAATGTCAAATAGAAGTCAGTTCAAAATTTTCAAATTTTAAAAAGCGCAATTTTGATCAAAATATCTATTGTTATATACCATTGGAAATAAGAAATAGCCCGTAATAAAGATATATTAGAAATTTCGTCATATGTAAATTAGGTCACGTGACACCGCTCTTTGAAATTAAAAATCGCTTTCAAATGGCTGTAAAACCGGAAGTTGACATTGCACAGCAAAACTTAAGACACCATCGGATAGATCTCATTAGGGGTAACAAGTTTTGGTAATAATTTTTCAAATATCTTCAAAATTCCGGAAGTTGAAATTTTCAGTTTAAAAGCGAATAACGTCAAAACCGGAAGTGATATCGAAAATATGAAAATTGAATTTACTTCGCAATCAAAATGACTATCTAACTGTAAATTTTCAGATTGGTCGAAATTAAATTGTAAAAGTTAAAAAATAGCTAAATTTTGAAAATCAAAAAGTCAGCGACAAAAGTCGAAATTCTGAAATTCTTAAATTGCTAACCTGTAGAACTCAGTTCAAAGCAGTTAACTTAAAAAGTCTGATCAAAATCAGATCGAAATTAGAGCTGTTAATTAAAAAAAGACAAAAAAACAGTTTTGTCCTACGTCATTTCCGGTTGAAAAAAATGTGCGTCAAATTGTATTCATATTATAAAGTTCGATAGAACGCACTGCAATAAAACTTTTTGTTTAATTAATTATGTTAATATGTTAATAAGGAAAATAACCATAAGACAATAATCTTACAAATTATCTGAAGGCACCATCTTTCTATAGGTTCTATCTATACATTAGATAGCTTGCCAGGCAAGGTAATATACCCCCACTGGCAGCTTTGATTTTAAATAAAAAATATTTGGCATTAACAATTACCAGTATGAAATATTCAACCTTCAGTCTTACACTTCTATTGAACTTTGTGTGTCGATACTGGTAAAAAAAATTGAACGCATTTTTATGAACAAGGGCAATAATTCATACAAAATATTTTCGATTCTACTGATTTTGTTGATATCAAACATTCACACAAAATTTCGTCGAAATCCGTCAAGAATTGTGCCTTCTAGAGTGTTTACGTGCTAAAAATTGAACGCGTTTTCAAGAACAAGGGCAATAACTCATACTAATTAATTTTCGATTTTTCTGTTTTTCGGTAGGGTTCATTCTTGGGTGATAAAAAACATTTACACCAAGTTTCACAAAAATCTGACAATAATTGAACCTTCTAGAGTGTTTACAAACTGAAATTGAACGCGTTTTTTTTTGGAGATAGCAAACACTCACACCAAGTTTTATCAAATAATTGCTTGTTTACGAGCATTTCAAGAACAAGGGCAATAACTCATACTAATTATTTTTCGATTTTGTGATTTTCAATAGGGTTTATCCTTGGGTGATTACAAACAATCATACCAGGTTTCTTTCAAAATCAGTCAAGAACTGTGAATTCTGGAGTGTTTTGTCTTCATGCCACCCTCCAAGATGATCTGCTAAACATTAAAACCTGGTGTGAGGATAATGTTATAGTTATAAATGGCGATAGAGAATGTTACTACATTATTAGGCCTTACAATTGACCACCATCTTGAATGGGATTTCCAAATTAAAAAACTGTCGAAAATAACTGTGCTAAAATTTTCAGTCAAATTGAAAAATGCATTCCATTAAGCTTACGTAAATTGTTTTATCATAGTTATATTTTACCATTTTTTGATTATTACAGTTTGGGGTAATTCCAATAAATCTAAATTGGAGGTTTTAAACGCACTGCAAGGAGTATATTAGATGAAAAACTTGATTCACCTTCGGCACCATTATTCAAAATACTTATACCATCATATAATCTTAGAAACACAGTGTTTAAATTTTCATAAGTCTTTCCTCATCCATGTTACATTGTAAATATATGTTTTATGTTATTTTCTGTATTTATAATCTGTAGTTTAGTGGGAAAACATAGTGTTTAAATTTTCATATTTCTATTCTTATCTATTATTTACGTTGTAAATATGTATATGTGTTATGTTATTTTCTGTATTTTTATTCTTTATGTTACTTTGTATATAATATGTAGTTTTGTGGCGAATCATAGTGGATTTCTAATTTCTATCCTCATCCATGTTACGTTGTAAATGTATATATGTTATATGTTATTTTCTGTGATTTTATTCTTTCTGTAATCTTGTATATAATTTATAGTTTATTGGGACCTATTGAAAATTAGACTTCTATCTCAATGGGTTGTCAAAATAAAGTTATTATTATTATCATTATTATTATTATGCCATCCTAAAGAAGATTTAATTTAAATTGTCAGCCAATGTGGATTTACGTTACCTTGCCTGTCAAACTATTTTTAATTGACTGGTAAAACAAACACACATAAGGGGATTCACAGCTGATGCCCAACTTCCAGCAAATTGTGACACGATAGCAAAGTCAAATCAAATACAGATTTGAGTGGGTCACTTCTTTCGTTATGATCCGAGGATATTTTTCGTGAAATCCAGATCCAGAAAACATACAACTGGTGCTTTAGGACACTATTAATACTCAAACTTTAGCTTCCTTGAGCAACTTGTAAACGAATTCGACGGAATTCGACGGAAAAGAATATCGCCCTGTACAATGAATAATGCAAAAGGTTCGAAATTTGCCTATTACAGTAAAAACCCGTAGCGTCTATTCCAGAATTCGTCACATGTGGAAGACCTAGTTTATTAAACAGGGCATTTGATTAGTGGGCTAAGTTAGTAACCTTCAACTTTGCCGACTATATACTTTTTTTCTGAAAAAATGGTGAAGAGAAATGCGTTATATAACGTTTTGACAATGTTATGTTACATCACTTTGACTGACAGAAATTCGTCCTAATCTATGATACTAATAATTGAACTGAATGTATTTATCTAAAGACGTGATGCAATTCTGTGACTGGGGTTTTTCAACTCTTTATATTACATGGGTCAGAATTGTGTCCAATACACATGGACATGGTCCTGTCTGACATTTAGTTGTAAGATATTGCACCCAAGTCGGAAATATCTTGTAAATTTGGGCTCCACTTTTGAATGTGACCAGTGTTTTAAGCGAGTCAGAGCATGGTCAATCTTTTTGAATACCTGATGTAGCTCTTCAACTCGGATTTTACTTTTGGTAGTTAATTAAATGTTTGTATACGTACATGTATTTACAAGGCGTAACTTACCTAAACATAGTCCCTCTGTCTTTCTATATAGTGTATGGTGTAATAACAACTATTGTGTTGACTAACTGGCCCTAATTCTTAGAAAAACCTGTTTGATTCCCTATTATTGTTCAATTTGATCCAGACAATAGTGCAATGCTATCTAACAAGCATGTTTGCCTGGTTGTTAAGTACAGTGAAAAATAAACAATAAACAAAAGACTTAACTATGCGCTGTAAGTGAAGATCGAAGTGTGTATATTATATAGACATATAAATACAATATAATATAATGTTATATTAAAATTGCCACAGGATTAGTTGGAGTAATTTTGACCAAAGGATTTGAAGAATGAGGTACCGGTACCATTAAGTCTGTCACTTGGTGGCGCGATAGTGAAGTAGGACACGCGAGTTTGTCGTCGGCTGCCGTAGTAACATTACTTGAATTGTGTTTGCAAGTCTAAAAAGACAAAATGGCTTGACGTCTTTACTAGCTCCTATTAGAATCCGTAAAATTCACACCAAGACATGCTATACATATTATAAAGTGAAATTGAAATCGCTTTTTTTCAATATTTTCAAATTTATTTTTTATCTGCATGCGCTGCGGAGAAACAGCAGTTTGAAGTTGATTTAGGGGAAAATATCAATTTTACACAAGTTTCAAAAAAAATTTTCACCAAAATTCTATATCTTCGTCCATTTTGCTAAATTTGCTTTTTTTATTTTTTTTTTTCTATTTCGTCCAGCCAATTCTTGTGAAAATTGACTTAAAAAAGTAGTATTTACGAAAATCTGCAACACATACTAAGAGTGCGTGTCACGTGTCCCGTATCACGCTAGATCAACAAGACGTAAATTACTGTGGAACGTCAATGACGATATACG